GCCGCCAGTTTGAAAGAAGTGATAAATCTTTTTTTGGTTTTGGGATTAAGGTAATTAAACTCTGTGCCTGCAACTGACTTAAATATTCAGTTTCGAATGAATAATTAAGAGAATTTATTAGATCATTTTTAATTTCATTCCAAAACATTTTATAAAATTCAACGTTTATACCATCTGATCCAGGACTTTTCCCATTTTTCATGGTTTTAATTGCTTCGATACACTCTCCTTCTGTAATAATTCCTTCACATAATACTTGCTCGTTGTCGTTTAGTTTAGGGATTTTATTTTCATCATAAAAGTCATATGTTGAGTCTCTTTGTATCTTTTCACTGTACAGACTTTCATAATATTTTTTTTGCTCATTCAGAATTTCATTTTGGTTTGACGTAACATTACCATTGACATTTAGATTATTAATAAGTTTTCTTTCAGCATTTCTAGTCTCTAAATTTTTTAGCAATTTAATGTTTTTTTCACTGTTGTCTAATTTAAAACTTTTTATTCTCGTTATAATTCCATTGATATTTTCATTATGAAATTGTTCTAATTCTGATTTTTTCAATTCTAAATTTCTATTTAAATTTTCGTCAAAATTGCAGGCTATCTCAGTTTCAATTTTTTCGATTTCTGTCATAAGTTTTTGAATTTGTTCTGTTTCTGTTTTCTTTTTATATTTTGAAAATCTTATAGTTTCATTTCGTATTGTACTTTTAATAACTTCCCATCTGACTAAAGGGTTTGTGTCTGTATTAAGAGAACGTATTTCAGTTATGGCATTTTTAATTCTGTCTTTAAATTCCATATTTAAAAGTAAACTATTATTTAGTTTAAAAACACCAGGTCCTCTCACTATAGGATCAAAATTTAAAGTTACATATGCTATTGAGTGATCAGATTTAAAACTAGGCTTTATGCCAGATTTTTCAACAATATTTACCAAATCATTTGAAAGAACAAAATAATCTAATCTACACGCTATATTTAACCGTACTTTTGAGCGCCAAGTAAATCTTTTAGTGAACGGATTTTGTACCCGAAATATATCATTAAGTTGAAAAGTTTCAAGTATACTTTTTATTTTTTTGCGACATTTCAAATGTGTATGAGGGTTACCACCTTGTTTGTCAATATTAGGTTCTAGCACTACATTAAAATCTCCTCCTATAATAAAAAGGTGATCACTTCTGTCTTTAATGAAGGCTTCTAATTTACAGAAAATATCAATATCATCTTTATTTGGGCCGTATACATTTATGATAAATACCTCTTTGTTTTCAATCTTTACATGAAGTGCTAATACACGTCCGATCTCAATTTCAAAAGTATTTAGAATGTGAATATTTAAACCATTTCTGAAAAGAACTGATACGCCTAACTGATTACTTGAATTCCCACTATTAATTATTGTTCCATCCCATTCTTTTTCCCACTTTTCTTTATCAGCCTGTTTGAAATGCACTTCTTGGAGAAGGCTTATGTCAACCTTTTGTGTTTTCAACCATTGAAAAATAGCAATTCTCTTGTCTTTTCCAGAAATTCCGTTAACATTATAAGTAAAGATAGTAGTTTTAGACATTAAATTGAATCGATGAAGAAAATTTATATACCACCAAAGCAGTTAAAAATTGTTCAAGTATAAAAGTCTTCCTGCAAAGAGGATTAAGTTGTGAATTACATGACCGCATCATTAATGTTACTAGTATTAAGGTGTTAATATTTAAAATAGGTAGGGGATCTTATTCTTATGGACCTTTCCGGTGTTCACAGTTTTATGTAAATTGGCTAACTTGTTATCCAATCGCTACACTGATATAATACATAGTCACTGGTTGACCTGGTTTGCACAAAAGAACACGTGCTTATGTTTGTGATACTGTTTGTGAGCAGTTGACCTAGCAATGAAAGGAAAAGGTGTGGCTAAATGTTCCGCTACGAAAAACCGGAAAGGTCCATTAAATTCAACAATATGTAAGCAAATTTGTCTAACTTGGATTTATTAAAAGAGATTACAAGTTCCCATAAGGAAATCTAATGAATGGTGAGCAATTATCCGGTAATCTGTACAATCAGACCTAAGGCTTTATACTGTTAGATGTTTAGATATTTACTTTCAATTTCCCTCACATAATCTCAGGATAGTTCCAAATTTAAAACACCAGGACAAGTTCATATATTTAAAGCGTGGTAAAGGGGTAAATAAATCAGAAGGTTTAATTTAAGAAATGTTTACTGTAGACACTGTCTGCCAGTGATACCATAAGTGATTCAAGTTTGAGTTCTTAAAACAAAGGTTCCATTGTTTTACTTCTGGTTTTCACCTGGTCTGCTTTGAATCTATGGCAATACCTTGTTTTTACCTTCTCACAAATATTGTAGAAAGTTTGTTGCCAAGAAAAATATAGCTCAATTTTTCACAGTTCATCTCAGTCCACAATTTATATTTCAGTAAGTTTTGTTTCTCAGATAAAAGTAGTTTTCATTAAAAAGCTATGCATATGAGATAATTTAGTTAAAATAATGCAGTTTAAAACTTTTTATATGGTGAAAGGTCTTAGTTAAACACCTGATATTATATTTGTTAAGAAACTATTATTCAAGATTCATAATAAATACAGTTACAAAATAAGTGTTGAAGAATGGTCTTACTCTATTGCAGGGGAGGTTAATAGCTAATATAAAATCATATAACTGTAATGGCTTTTGTTGGTTTGTATTGATGATTGTTTCATATTATCCACAAGTCAGTTGTAGCCCCCTTCCCCTCCTCCTACTCCCATCCCCTCTCACTTTACCTTGGGAAGTGTCAGGTACATAAGCTAGCTCTGTTTTTTACTTTCTGTCTGTCTCTTTGGTTATGCCCTTACTATCAGATATTTCCATCAGTTTGGAACCTTTACCAGAGACGTTGGGGTTGGGGCCTGGATACACATTTGACTAGTGCATTACTGCTTTTAATGTGTGTTTGTTTTCTCAGATATGAAGGCTTTAGTTTGAGACTTCTGTCACCAATTTACCTGTTTCAACTTTTGATTAGTTAATGTTGTATCTTGTTACTCTGGTTTTACAACAGTTAGTGTTTGTTTAAATTTATCAAAATTGTGATATTTGACATCTTAAATACACTGGATCAGACTATCATTTTTGTACTGCTATAAGAATTAATATATATATTCGAAAATCCTTTCATCAAGCAATTATGCTCTAATTGGCACATTACTTGCCCAGCAAGGATCTCTTTAAAAATAATGAGGTACCCAGTGTCTTTGAGATAGATGCAAGAATCTATATTGTTTTACCAGACAGGCTTACATACTTGTGCAATGAAAAGTTTCCTGTACTTGGTTCCCTTGAGGTTACTAGTAGTGTTATAACACAATTGCATTGTAAGCTTTACAAATTCCTAAATTTGTTCAGAAATTCTGAACAAGAACCTGACCAATATTTTATAGCAATTAAACCTTTGCTAGGTCAAAGATTAATCTCTTGCAAGTCTAGAAATTCCAGAGTTATGGAACTTAAAGTTATAAGATAATTATTGTTGACTAACAGATATTAGTAAGAAAGGGAGATCATTCAGTACTGTTTGCTGCTGTTTTCTTTTTGAAATGTTCAATTTTCTTGAGAAGGACATGAAATAAATTTACAGACAAGGTTACATAATAAGCCTTTAGCCTGCTGGTGGCAAGTGTCTATAAGTAAAAAATTGTCCTTGCTAAATGGTTGTATTGCAGTATTAACTTTTTTCTATTACAACCTTTAACGAAAGTTGAATATGCATGCTGAAAGAATTTAAATTTTAAGAACTTGCTTAAAAGTAAAAGACTTTTAAGTAAGAAAATGTCTACCCATGTGATCAGTGAAGTCACAAAGAATAGGATGTGACTTATGATCAATTTCTGCACTGTTTGAAATTTTCCCTGAAATAATAAATGGTTTTATCCTGATTGAATGATGAACATGTCAATTTAAGATATTTAGGGTGGTAAGGGCCAGACAGATAATTGAACCAGTGACAGACTAACCAATATCCCAAATGACACCATTATGGCTGATGATTTATCTAAAAATAAAATAAAATAAAAATGTAGAGGTCTGTAATATATTATGGGTGTGGCTTTTACTTTTATCAAATATTATTATGAAAATTTTTTGGCATTTTCACTTTTGATTAATATCTGGGCTAATAATTGCATTGCATGTTTGGAATTAGTTGGCACAATATTTTGGTCAAGTTCAGTAACCAGTCAACATAGCTAGATAGTTCATATCAACAACATGTGTCTAAATTAATGAGCTTAGGTAATGTTTGTGATTAATAATGATAAAATACTAAAAAGGATCAAGTAATTTAGTAAAATAATCCAATAAGTTTTGTATGTTTCACAAAAATATGTCTCAAGATCATTCTTGAGAGTGGTCTGGTTTTTGTCAATGTATTTAAAGAAGTCTTTACCCCTTGTTAAATATACCTTCATATTAATTCATATTAATGACTTGATTATGTCAAAGAAATAAATCAATTACGTCTATGGGTTCAAATCCCAGCAGAAATGTTGAAATATTTCATATAGGGCTATCCTGTACGTTTGCTGTTTCTATTGAGGTATTTACGCCTGAGACTCGAGGGGCAGATGTGTTCCTCCTCCTTCAGTAAAGCTGGAAAGTTTCCATATGACATTTAAACTGTTGGTATTACTTTTAATATGCATTTTCTTACTTAAAAGTCTTAACTCTTATAAAGTACCTAATAATCAGCTCTTAAAAGCTAAAAATTTTCAGTATGCATAATTCCTGTATAAAACTTTCATTACAGGTTGTTATAGAAAATAGGTAATTAGTGCAACACATCCATTAGCAAGGACAATTTTTTACTTGTTTACCTGAAGAATCTGTGAAGAGGCTCATCATAAATACATTAAGAGTTTTCACAATTCTGGCATTTCCCCAGTGGGCACCCCACATAGACTAGTATCATGTTTCTCCAGTTTGTAGGTAAAATAGACTGCTTCTCTATCTTCCAAATTCCCATTCAATTGTACGTCTGCTAGGATGCTTTAAACACTTATTTGAAACTTATAGTTGATTCTGGTGGCGATGATCCCCGCAATTCTGCAAGAAATCGTGTAATTGTCATAAGGACGATTTTTTGACGTCAAAACTTATAGTTTTGGCATTTTCTTGGTTATCAGCATCATCTGGGTATTTTCGGAAACAATTCTGGATATTACCAGGTAAGACTATATTGTGTAATTTATGTTTTCTTTCACCTTACATTACTATCTCTGATTGTTTCATGCAGTAATGCTTGTTTATAAGACTTTTATTTCCATCGTTATAGTTTGTATATGTTTTGATCTTGAGATTTAGTTGTAATGAAGGTACCACTGAAATATCCATGTACTGACATATGGTTGACATAAATCAGGTCAATCAGGGTCATTTGAAATAGGTTTTCAAATTAATGCAATGTTTTGCTAGGTATACCTTTTTACATGTATAAAAAAATAGCATAACCTTGGGTAAATTTTTATTTAGAAATTTGTCCTCAAATTAGTGTCATATGACATGTACATATAATAATGAGAGATGTTGAGTCTTAATGTTGTTGGATGACAAATTCTTAAAGATACTTTATGAGGCCCGGTGTAAATGTTTGCTGCAGGTAATCTGGTCAATAATATGTATTAAGTAAATGTGTTGGTGTAAATGTGTGCAACATGTTAACATGTTAATGTGTGATGTTTGCTGTAAATGTATGTAACACTTGCACTTGTTAATGTGTGACAATGAGTTATGTGTTGGTGTAAATGTGTGCAGCACATAAACATGTAAATGAGTGACAATAAGTCTTATGGTCATTTGCCACTCACCTCTGATCCAGAAATCATTTGGGATAAGTTGTGGGTGACTTGAGTAGAAATTGGTAATTAGGAAAGCTGGTTAGGTGGACTGACCATTGGGATATGACCAAAAATGTGCTGATATCAGCAAAATGACCGGACATGCAACAAAACAAACAACCATGCAGTAAATATATGTGTTAATGAATGATTTACATATAATTAATATGTTGGTACAAATAGGTGCAGAGATTTTTTTTTTATGAGTGAAATTGACTTGATGTGTTAGTGTAAATGTGATCAACAGGTTAATTTATGAATAAGTGACATTGACCAGTATGTGTTGGTGCTAATGTGTGCAGCATGTTAATTTAGTAATGAGTGACATTGACTTGATGTGTTAGTGTTAATGTGTGTGAAAGGTTAATTTATGAATGAGTGACATTGACTTGTTTGTGTTCGTGTTAATGTGTGCAGCAGGTTAGTTTGTGAATGAGTGGCATTGACCTGTATGTGTTGGTTTTAATGTGTGCAGCAGGTAAACATGTTAATAAGTGACATTAACTTTATGTAAATGTGATCATGAATGAGTGACATTGACTTGCATGCATTAGTGCTAGTATGTGCAGCAAGTTAATTTGTGAATGAGTGACATTGACTTGTATGAATTGTGTTAGTGTACATGTGTGCAGCAAGTTAATTTGGGAATGAGTGACATTGATCTGTATGTGTTGGTGTTAATGTGTGCAGCAAGTTAATTTGTGAATGAGTGACATTGACTTGTATGAATTGTGTTAGTGTACATGTGTGCAGCAAGTTAATTTGGGAATGAGTGACATTGATCTGTATGTGTTGGTGTTAATGTGTGCAGCAGGTTAATTTGTGAATGAGTGACATTGACTTGATGTGTTGGTGTTAATGTGTGTGAGTTGAGGAGAATGACTTTAACAATATTTTGTAAGTGAAAAATTACTCAATGTAAACAAATAGAAATGCAAAGGTTTGAAAAAGTATAATTCATCGTAACTAGAGATTTAGCTGATAGTATGTATAAGGAATTCATTTTATGTCTAATTTTCTTTGGATACTATGTGAACTGTATGTGTCTTCATAATTCTGCATTTGTCCAGCATGTATATATCATAAAGTATACTAGTATAAAGCTCGTAAGACATAAAGAAATATGACTTTTTGAGACGGGGGGGGGGAGGGTATGAGGGGGTCTTCCAGATATTTTCATATGCTTTTAACATAGTTGCTTAGACTTAGTACAAACAACAACAAAAACAACCATCTCCTCCCACCTCCCTAAAATTTGAATGTTGGCATCTTAGATTATTATGTACAAAGAACAAAAAATATAATTGTTTTCTCAAAAATTATTTAATGAGTTCTCAGAAGAAACACTATGTTCCCAACTATTGATACAAAAATTTGAATAATAAAAAATTAGTAAGTCAAAGTATTTGAATCTATAGGTGATTTTTGAACCAAATAATAATCTTATTATTTTTCTTGACCTTCGATCCTTTCAAGTGAGTTTGCTAAGAAAGTTTTATCTTTAGTTTTATCTTTGAAGTATTAATATGATTAGAAATAAGAAGATAATTAATTTCCCACAAAGCTTTCTAAGATAATCAGATTTTCTCAAATTTGTTAAGACTTACATTAAATTATGTTTATGATAATATGAAATATTATTTCAACTCTGATACTTAATGAATAATAAACCCTGCTGATATCCAATGAATAATAAACCCTGATACTTGATGAATAATAAACCCTGCTGATATTCAATGAATAATAAACCCTGATACTTGATGAATAATAAACCCTGCTGATATCCAATGAATAATAAACCCTGATACTTGATGAATATAAACCCTTTTGATGTTCAATGAATAATAAACCCTGATACTTGATGAATAATAAACCCTTTTGATATTCAATGAATAATAAACCCTGATACTTGATGAATAATAAACCATGCTGATATTCAATGAATAATAAACGCTGGTACTTGATGAATAATAAACGTTGCTGATATTCAATAAATAATAAACCCTGATACTTGATGAATAATAAACCCTGCTGATATTCAATGAATAATAAACCCTGATACTTGATGAATAATAAACCCTGGTACATGATGAATTATAAACTCTGATACTTGATGAATGATAAACTTTGACACTTGATGAATAATAACTTCTGATACTGATGAATAATTAACTTTGATACTTGATGAATAATAAACCCTGGTACATGATGAATTATAAACTCTGATACTTGATGACACTTGATGAATAATAACTTCTGATACTGATGAATAATAAACTTTGATACTTGATGAATAATAAACTCTGGTACATGATAAATAATAAACTGTGATACTTGATGAATGATAAAGTTTGACACTTGATGGATAATTAACTCTGATACTTACTGAATGATAAACTCTGATACCTGATGAAAAATAAACTCTGGTACTTGTTGCATTTTAAAGTTTGATACTTGATAAATAATTAACTCTGATACTTTGATCAATAGTAAACTCTGATACTAGATGAATAATAAACTCTAATATTGATGAATAATAAATTCTGATACTTGATGAATAATAAACTGTGATACTTAATGAATAATAAACCCAGGTACATGATGAATAATAAACTCTGATACTTGATGAATAATATTTTCTGATACTTGATGAATAATAAACTGTGATATTTGATGAATAATAACTTCTGATACCTGATGAATGATAAACTCTGATACTTGATGAATAATAAACTCTGATTCTTGATGAATAATAAATCATGGTACATGATGAATAAAACTTTGATACTTAATAAATAATAAATAATGCCACTTGATGAATAATAAACTCCGATACAAGTGATGAATAATTACCTTGATGAATTATAAGCTTTGATACATGATGAAAAATAAATCTGGTATTTAAATGAATAATAAACTCTGATACTTTGATGAATATTAAAGTCTAATACTTTATGAATAATAAACTCTGATACCTGATAAATTTTAAAAATCTGATACTTTGACACTTGATGAATAATAAACTTTGACACTTGCTGGATAATAAACTGTGACATTTGATTAATAATATACATGATGAACAATAAACTCTGGGACTTGAAAAATAAACTCTGTTACTTGATAAAGTTAAAAGTCTGATACATGTGATAAATTTGTAAGATTTTAATATTGTGTGTAAATATCATAGGTACATGTACTTGCAGCTTTTGCCACCTGTATTATTGAGCCAAGCCAGCCTCAGCACATCTGTGCAGTCTGACCAAGCTCTATACTGTTGGTAGCTTGATTTTTGTTTTTGTATTGAAATCCTTTCAACTATAAATGGACTTTCAAATTTAAAGCCGGGAAAATCCATTACATAGATTCACCATGCTAAGGATTCATTAAGGTAAACAGAAGTACTAACATGTACAATATGAATCACAAAACGTGAGTTATGGAATGACTAGAGAGAATGTTTGCTTTGAACCATAACGGAAATAACTCTCTGCCTTTGATGTTTTTGCCGTTATTTTTAGGTTGAGAAGGAGTATTAACTCATCTTCAGCATAGTTTATGTGCCTGTTATAATGGTTCATGTTTTATGTCAAAATAAAATACACTCACTGATGATTTATTTACGCAGCACCTATTTTCTAACAGTCTGGCTTAGGGTTTTGGTTCCAAATTTAGACTAAGTCTGCTGGGAAGCAATTTGCCAGAACTACACGAATGATGACTGGATGTTAAATTGATATGATTTTTAAACTGGTTATCAGCAGTACATTATAAACACATTTTAATTTAAGGATGGGCAGACCTTGGAGAATTTATAATGTAATTTATTTATCAGAGAAAGTGAAGAATTTAGTCAATGGAAACCTGTTGATGCCTGGTATCACCCTCTGTGATGTTACAAAACATAATTTATAGAATATGTTGCATATAATATACAAAAATGCTCCAGAAAATTCCTACATAACTTAATTAGTAAAAATGTGATATGAATAAAAACTGTTCATGAATATTAAATTCATTTAACTTCACTGATGGTCACGCACATTGAGAGGAAGTGCAGTACACAAGAATCATAACTCATGATCTTCACTAATTACAGAGTTATTGCCCTTTGTTACTTTTCCTTGTCAGGAGCATAACTTGAAAACTACTGGTTGGAATTCAAAACAACTTCATACAATGGCCAACACAATAAGGGGAAGTGCAGTGCATAAGAACCATAACTCTATCTAAAGTAATTACAGAGTTATTGCCCTTTGTTACTTTTCCATTGCTTTCTTTTGTCCGGACCATAATTTTAAGACTAATGGTTGGAATTCAAAACAACTTCATAC